AAAAAAAAAAAACCCTCTGGTCTTTTTTCAATAAACAAACAAACAAACAAAAACAAAAAAACAAACAAAAAAAACGTACTCTAATGAGCCCCAGCACTGAGCCACAAAAGATTTATTGAAAATGGAAAACCTGGTTTATTACTAAAGCCGCTTCTAAGTCTTAACCCAGAATATTGTAAGAGAAAAACAAGAGAAATCAGCATAATAGCAATTTTACCATGGAGAGAAAGACCACTGAGCCTTTTATTTTAACTAAGATACAACATTGCGATTCCCGGTCTGGTCTGACCAGCAGCTTCGGATTGGCAGAGGGAAGGCGGCCCAGACTCTGTGAGGAGGCAAGGTTCTCAGGGGACAGGCCAACCAGGAGGACAGGATTCCCTGGAGGTCCCAGAAGAGCACCAAGGAGAAGATCTGTTTGTGGGTCTCCATTGCCCAGCTCCTGCCCACACTCCCACCTGCTGCCCTGACCAGAGTCATTGTGTCTCTTGAGCAGAAGAATCAGCACTGCAAGCCTGAAGAAGGTCTTGAGGACCAAGAAGAAGCCCTGGGCCTGGTGGGTGCACAGACTCCTTCTACTGAGGAGCAGGAGGCTACTGCCTCCTCCTCTTCTACTCTGATCCCAGGCACGCTGGAGGAGGTGCTTGCTGCTGGGTCAACAGGTCCTCCCCAGAGTCCTCAGGGAGACTCTGCCTTCCCGACTACTGTGAACTTCACTCAAAAATGACATGGCTAAAATCTAATGACAGATGTATTACAGTTTTCTTTTGAGTTATACTTTATTACAATTACTCCTCATTTTTACTAAAGATATTTATAAGACTAATTTAGTTGTAAAACAAGTTGTAGTCTTATTCTACTTGGCCCAATTATTTGTATAAAGTGGAGCAAGAGTAGTAAACAGCCATACGGGGTCTTTTTAAATCTGCTTTGCTGAAGCTTATCGTAAGGAATCTCGGATTAGACCTTTAAAAGCCTCTCCAAGCTAGAAAGCCAAGCCATGAATTCACCATTTGATTTTACGTATAGTATCTGGTTAATTTTTTTGAGGTCCCCAAAATATTCTGGGGTTCCTTGGCCTGTCAGAAAGTGACATTTTTACTTACCTGAAGGCTAGAAACCTGGAAAGGGAATTGTGGAAACAAGGTATCAGAACAGTTCTTCTAAGGGCTTGAATGGCTCTTTAAAGTTAGCCTTAATTCCTTAAAGCAGTCTGGTTATACTTGAAAATATGGCCTCCCAGTCAAAACCTTGGTAATGTAACCTGTGTTTCCAATTGTTCTGCAGTGAAGAAAGCAAATATTTATTGAACTTGTGCTAATAACTATATTGTCATAAGACAAAAAAATACAGACAGTTTCTAAATTCTGGAGAGATTAGGTAGAAAGAAAGGTAAATATTCTAAGTTTGTCCAAAAAGTACAATTTACCCAAATTTATAGCTTTTTTAAATGACTATAAATAACTTCAAAAAATAAAAATAAGTTTTCTTGACTTTGGAAAACAAACTGTAAAAGAAATCAACAACGATCTAAGCCAAAAAGAAGTCATTAAAAAAATCATTTTGGTCTTTCATTGGTTAAGTCTCATGTAATTAACTTGTTTTGCTCCACATTGGGTCAGTAATCTTTATGAACACATTAGTTTCTTTGTGAAAGCTTTTACTTACTCTAATGATGTAATTTCTAAGTTTATTGAAAACTATCTTCAAGGGTACTTGCCATGATCCTTTCCTATGAATATCCTTGAAGAAGAAGCAAACTTTAGAATGCCTTTTCAGGAGAATAGAAGTAAAACAATAATTGCCTGAAGATGAAAAAAGACTTAGAGTAGCTATAAAGATGCAACTGACAAGGAAATTTGGTTAATTCTGTGGTATATAATTTAACTTACTCAGAATTATAGCCGATAACATATACCAAGACATATCAGAATTTTTTTGTCTTAGGAAACTCATGTGTTTTGGAATATATAGTAATAACACATTTATGCAAATATAACTCAAAGAAAGTTAAATATTATTTGTATTTGACAATGTCTCCTGTACAGTTTAACATACTAGGATAATTTAACAAATAATCCTAGTATGTGTCTTTTGACTTCAAAGGGCTCTTTTTTTGAATGTTCAAAAGTTAGTTTGAGGTCAAAAAGACCTAATTTAGAATTGGAAATTTGATTTTAGGAAGCCTGTCAAATATATCAGAAGTTTAAAACACTTGATCAAAATAGGATTACAGGTTGCTGGGAAATAATAACCATTCATTTAACCAAAGTGATAATTAAAATATTTCAGAAAGTGAAAACCTTTACTCTTTGATAGAGAGAAGACTCAATTTTTTTAAATAAAAGATCTAATACAGACAGCATGAGGTAAACACTTCCCTTTTCTGTTTTTGCAGTTTACTCAAAAGGTGAACCTAAGTTTTTTATTATCTTTTATTAATATTATATGCAAATCTTGTTAAAAAGAAAAACCTAAGTTGTTTTTTAGCAGTTACATTATTAATACTAAACCTAATTTTAATAAAACCTTACAAACAAGTTTACCTAGCCTTTTTGTTTTGTTTTTTGGTTTTTGTTTTTTTTTGAGACAGGGTCTCACCCTGTCTCCCAGGCTGGAATGCAGTGGCACAATAAGGGCTCACTGCAGCCTTAACCTCCCCTCAAGAGATCCTCTCACCTCAGCCTCCCTAGTAGCTGGGACTACAGGCCTGCACCACTATGCCTGGCTCGGTTTTTTATTTTTGATAGGCTCAGTCTGCCCACCTTGGCCTCCCAAAGTGCTGGGATTACAGGCATGAGCCACCACACCCAACCTATCCAATTTTAATCAACATTGACCAAAAAATATAAGATGTCTATAAACTTTTTATAACCTCTTATAAATTTTTGATTCTCTTTCTTTCTTTAACTTTTTATATCCATGTAGTTTATCTCATTTATATCTATTTTATTTATGTAACAATTATGATTGGAAATTATTTTGAAACATTACACAAATCTAGCTGTCATCTCAAGTTAAATTTTTCATTAATCACTTGTATATGACTGTATGTTAGGCAACTATTATAAAAACAAGAACTTTAGAAGTTAAATACTTGTATGTTTTCCTGATAACTCAGAAGACATAATTATTCTTATTAAACCAAGAATACTAATCTAATCTTACTTACCAAATGATTTACCTAAGTCACTTCAACTTAAAAAATATTTGGGGTTTTTTTTGTTTGTTTGTTTTTTGTTTTTTTGTTTTTTTGTTTTTTTTTTTGAGATGGAGTCTCGCTCTTGTTACCCAGGCTGGAGTGCAATGGTGCGATCTCGGCTCACCGCAACCTCCATCTCCTGGATTCAGGCAATTCTCCTG